ATTTGAAAAATTAATATAATGAAATTGATATAAAAGAAATAATAAAACAAAATGTCAAAAACCTTGGGCGACAAAATATTTTGTCGCGCAAACTATTAAACTAGTTAATTTTAATTAAATTTTTTTTTAAAAAAATAAAATAATAATTTGAATATTTCGTCGCGCAAAGATTTACGCGACATTAGGATTCGTCGCGCAAAGTGTATTTGCGCGACGTTAACTTTCGTCGCGCAAAATAATATTATTCGTCGCGCAAAGTAATTAATATTCGTCGCGCAAAGTTGATACTATTCGTCGCGCAAAGTAGTTATAATTCGTCGCGCAAAGTATCTTTTAGCGACGTTAGTATTCGTCGCGCAAAGTTGTTATAGTTCGTCGCGCAAAACCTTTCTTTACGAACTTTGCGTGACAGAACTTGTGCGACCAAAATTTCGTCGCGCAAACTTTGCGCGACGAAATTGTACTTTGCGCAACAAAATTATTGCGTCGCGCAAAGTGTTTTTTGTAGTAGTGCATCTTCCTGAAGTCCAGATAAAGGCACAAATAAACCATGATCACATATCAGTTTAGCATATATATAGTAAAAGCATGATTTCCCCATTGTTATAAAAGCATGCAAGAGTATTTTGCTTGCACCTCCTTTGTCCAGGGTCCCTTCACAACTTCAGGATTTAGAACCTTTTGCCAGTGCTGCATAAATATAAGAACTTCAGTATTTCCTTCTTCATTAACAATGTATCAAAAACTTACATGCTAAACTGGCATTAACAAAACTACCAAACTAAGGAATTTCCACTACTGACGTCTTCCTCTGTCCAGAATTTCGCAGACCGTCTCATCGGACCAGTGGCTCTCCTAGAACAGCAAAGCAGACCATTCATCACAGTAAAATATCAAATTAAGCATTTACCCATAACCAGAAAACTAATAACCAAAGAAAAAATTAACTCAAATGGCGATAAGGCATATAACAAGGTAATATAAGGAAAAAGGTTAATTGAAGAATCAGATGCCTTCATAAATATGCCCCATTCATGTAAAAAGCTAATTGACGCAACATACCGAGTAGCAGAGCTTGGCTTGGAAGTAGGGGAGTCAAAACAGCCTTCAATTTCATATAATGCTTGCAAAAGGAAACCCATTTTCTCGTGTGGATCCACAACCTCCTCCTGCAGCTGCTCCTTTTTCACTTTCGCCATGATCTCTTGCAAAATAAGTTGTTCACAACCTTGAACATATCACAAGCAGAAAACAAGCCCTAAATCCGTTAAAGTTAAAATTTTGATCATGCTAGCAAATTCAGCCTCCGATTCAAAATAAATCATAAATCTAATACAAAGGCACAAGCAGAGAGAGTGGAAAAAGAACAAGAAAATGAAGAAACAAATTAGCATATGCAATACCGAGATGAAAATTCGAAGCAAATTTCTATAGATCTGGTGCATCTGAGCAGACATATCCCTAAGGCTGAAAAATTCTTCAAAGCACAGAAGCAAGGCACAAGAGAAGAAAGAGACCAAATAAGTAGTTTGCATCGCTGGCTGCTGGTGGTGACTGATGCGAAGAAGACGATGGCGTCGGTGGCTTGGATGAGAAAGAATGGCATCGCACTACTACATTTTAGCGTTTGCGCGACGAATCAAAAATAGTCGCGCAAAGAACAAATCTGTCGCGGAAACAATAGCGCGACAAATATATCGTCGCGCAAAATCAGTCGCGCAAATACCGTCACGCAAGACTTTGCGCGACAAAACTATAAAATATCGTCGCGCAATACCCTTCGTTGCGCCAATAGTTCAGGGATGACAAACATTCCGTCGCTCAATATTTTGCGCGACGAGAATACAGGCGTTGCAGCAACTATGCGCGACGACTTCAATCTGTCGCACTGTTGTTTGCGCGACGAATTAACAGACGTTGCATGAACATAATGCGACGACAGAGTTTCGTCGCGCAAACAATATTTGAGCGACAAATATTTTGTCGTTGCAAATACTTTGTGTGACGAATAAGGATCGTGACTCAAACCCTTGCGCGACAATGATTTATTTGTCGCATTTTCTTTAGGGGACAAATACGTCTGTCGCGCAAATCGAGGATTATTTTTGTTTACGATATATTTTTATGGTTTTTTTATTTTTTTAAAACGTGATTTGCGCGACGGGTCATTTATTCGTCGCGCAAATATTAGTAATTAATTTTTTGTTTAATTTATGTGAAAAAAAGAGTTTTTTGATTTATTTTATTTTTATAATTAAATCAAATTGCAATTGAAAAATGTAATGAAGAGAAAATAGTTTTTTAAAACATAATATAAATGTATAATATACAAGAGAAATATTTAAAATGTAATTAAGAAAGTAAAAAACTAATTAAACAATGTAGCTAAATCTACTTCCTCGTCTGGCAAATGCGGCTCGGAGGTCTGGACATTGGGGACAGGGGCAGAGGTTTGGTGGCCATGCGCAGAGGTGGACGGGGGAACAAAAGATGGTACGGGAACGCCGGACTGGGCCATGGACTGTATAATCTGAGCCATCTGTGCCATCTGGGTTTCAAGCTGGGCCACCTTTGCTGTCAAAACACTATTTGACTGCGACGATGAACGGGATCTAGGTTCCCGCCGCCGGGCATTCCCCATCCCTCGACAGTATGTCCCTGGCCGCCTCCCTAGAGTCTGATCCAAGGTGTCCGTCAAGATCTGAAACCATGCATCCTGTGGAGGAGCCACAGACTGGCTCTTCTCAATCATGGTCGTCTGTTTAACATAACATAAAATATAAATAAAAA